ATGTAAAAGAAAGCGCGATTCATCAGACCAGGCCACCTTCTTCCATTGCTCTGTGGTCCAGTTCTGATGCTCACGTGCCCACTGTTGACGCTTTCGGCGGTGGACAGGGGTCAGCATGGGCACCCTGACTGGTCTGCAGCTATGCAGCCCCATACGCAACAAACTGTGTATTCTGACACCTTTCCATCAGAACCAGCATTAACTTCTTGAGCAATTTGAGCTACAGTAGCTCGTCTGTTGGATCGGACCACACGGACCAGCCTTCACTACCCATGTGCATCAATGAGCCTTGGCCGCCCATGACCCTGTTGCCGGTTTACCACTGTTCTGATGCTCTAACCCAGTCGTCTAGCCATCACAATTTGGCCCTTGCCAAACTCGCTCAAATCCTCACGCATGCCTATTTTTCCTGTTTGTAACACATCAACTTTGAAGACAAAATGCTCACTTGCTGCCTAATATATCACACCCACTAACAGGAGACGTGATGAAGAGATAATTCAGTGTTATTCACTTCACCTGTCAGTGGTCATAGTGGTCATTAAATACATTAATCAGCTAATGAGTCAAGAACAGTCTTTAACCAAACATTAGTGAAATGGTACAAGATAGAAATATTAACAGAATAACTCAACAAGATCATGTGAAGATAATATTAAAAAAATTAACATAAAAAATATTTTTTAAATGTAGTTTTATTTAAATATGTTTATTTTCTAACAGAAAAGTATGTCAACACAGACAAACAAGGTGCTTACACTGGGCCATGTGGCTCGTGGACAATTGTAACGCAATATTACAATTGGCCCCGATGGTGCAGCCATGATAAAATTTCATATGCTAGCTAGGCACGCCTAAATTAGCATAGGTTGTTCATGTTAATTTTTGTATCAATAACCTAGAGAGAAAAAAAATTTATGTTTAAATTCACAGTCATCTAAACTTTAGACAGCAGAAGAAAAATACTGTACATCTAAAAAGTACTTTCATACCTCAAAATCAGCATTTTGTTAAAAAGTTCTGCTGAGGTGAAATGATTGTGCTCCTTTTTCACAGGCAGAGAGAGAGAATCCTACTGAGCATGTGCAGATTAAGTGTCACTTGTTTCTGATTGGAGGAACTGAGTGTGTTACAATTGCCTCCTTTTACAATTGCCCCCGTTCTCCCCTACTAATTTATTCCATCGTTTTAATTAAATAAAAACGAGGAAACTAATTTTTATAACGTGACCACGATTTACTAAAACAAGGCAACGAATTAATAAAATGAAGGAATAAATTCTTAATTTGTAGCCACAATAAATATATATTTTTGTCTTCATGTCATCTGTGGGGCTCTGTAGTAATCGTGCATTACAATAAACTTGAATGTGTGCATATTGTGAATTAATTTAAAGAACTTGCTTTCTTGGTAGTCTTTCAGTTAATTCACTTGTCTTAGAAAATGATTCATAAACAAGAAGTGGGTTAGTTGTTATCAACAGACCTAAACCAGGACGAGGTAAAACTTGTTGCTGTCACTCAAATGTGTTTTATGTCATGGTTAGGACAATGCCATAAAAATAAAGATATTATTTAATTTAAAATCAATTCTAGTTAAACATTTTTTATTCTGTCTTTTGGACAAGAAACCATCATACAGAATCTTTTCACCTATAATTTGTTTTATGTCAAGGCTTTGAATTACCAGAGATCTGAGACAGACAGTATAGTGGTTTATCGTTTTACTTGACCGCATGGAGCTGAAATCTAATAAAAAAAAATTATGATAGTCATTTTGATCAGCTAGTTCATTAATTCCCTGACACTTATGAGGTTCCCACATATCTTTCCATTTATATAGTCTCTAGTGTCTGACTCTCTTCATTTCCCTCTCTTAGGTAATGACCAGGCATAGAACCAACCCTGGAGATGCCGAAGAGAAGAGATATTCTTGCCATCGTGTTGATTGTGTTACCATGGACCCTCCTCATCACTGTGTGGCACCAAAGTGCAATTGCCCCTCTGCTTGCCATCCGAAAGGGTACCAGTCTCTCTTACACATATAACATGTTTTCAGTGCCAATTTTGTTATCAATCCAAATTACAAATTTCTGCACAAAGCCTAATACATTCTATGATAAACTCAGCGTGTCTATTCATTTGTGCTCATTTGAGTAAGGTCACGTTAGAAAAAAAAATTGCATAATGTTATTCTCACTGCAAAATGATCTTTAAAATAGCTTTAAAAAGGTGGGGCTAAACAAGATTTATCTTCTTGCCACTTGAATACAAATTTTGTTTTCTGTCTAAACAACTACAAAACCGTGAGTTAACTAAATATACTTTGTCTTTCAGCACAGTGTGCTTTTTATTGCCATAAAAAAGTGACATAAAAGTTTTTTTTTTCAGTGACACAAAAAATAACTATTCATGTAGATTAACACAAATCCCACTTTGTAACACATTAGCTGAGTTTCAGTTTATGTGCCTCACTTTAAGAGTCCTCTGACTCCAGTGAAATTACCCAACAGCTTCTCATTTATTCAGCTGCAGAAGATTTCTCCAATAAAATCACACTCTGAGGAGCATTTCTGGTGGCTTTAAGTCAAAATTACTTGTTTTCATGTCTACAGCTATTTTAGCACTTACATTAAAACATGTATGTAAGTGGATAAATCACATACACAAGCTGTACACATAACCTGTTATTTATGGGGCATTTGGGGCAATCTAATGGCTTCACGACAATCCATCAGTCACTGACCAGACCACCTCTAGCTCAAACTACAGGGAAATACAATACCCAGCATTTGAAGATCTATATATCCATATATAATGCATGTCAATACCATCAGCTTATGGAGAATTGCAGATGTGTATTCATAGAAGTTATCATGAAGCAATTAACGTGAGTTTGTATGATGCCTAGGAGGCAGTGAACATCTGGACTGTTAATGGAGTGTGCTAATCTAATGGTGCTAAAATGTCTGAAGTGAGAGCAGGGCACTAATTGAACAGTGATAAAGATCTGATATGTGAGGTGGCACCATGATTTCTGCCCTTAATGAGCTATCAGCAGAATGTGCTGGAACTGCCCACACCATCATTTTGTGAAAATATTCTGGGGGAAAAAAAAAGAATATATTTGGTAACACTAGAGCTGTGCGATTAATCGAAATACAGTTTCAATTTCAATTTCAGCTTCCACCGATTATGAAAAATGCAATAATCAAGATAAAACGATTATTTTGCCCCATTCCGCCCCTTTCCAGCTGTGCGCTTTCACTCTTCCATAAAAGCCCAAATTTCATGTGCAAATCAGTAAAATCATGTAACGCGGCTTTCGCAAAATGGGATGTACTTGATTTATTAAAGTTAAAAGCACGAAAGAACTTGTGCCATTCCCTTAGGAGGCTTTCTGTGCACGCGCTCTGACATGGAACAGAACACGGACATGTAAAGTGAACTTTTAGCTTAATGTGCATGCTTAAATGGTCAAATCTTTAAATAAATCACTCACAAGTTTTGGTCATATGGCCCACTCGTGATTACAATATTGACCAAAATAATCATGATTATGATTTTTGCCATAATTGAGCAGCCCTAGGTAACACTAATTATTTCAGCAATATCATTCCAGCATGCTCATTTAAGAGATTTAACAGAATAGTTCAGCCAAAAAATAAAATTAATTCTTTCTTCCCTAGAACAAAAAAAAGAAAAAAGAAATTTTAAAGAATGTACTGATCACTATGTCCTAAAAAGCTCTGAACAAAAGTCATATGATCTACAGAAACATAAAAAACACACAAAAGATAATAATATTTAAAAACTATATTTGCAACCAGTTTTAAACCTAAAGTCTTCTAGTCTTCTAAAGCCATCTGATACTGCTGCTTGTCCAAGAGCTGTGTGCGTCACTATACAGACACCAAAAGCACATTACAGAATCTTTATTGCAGTGTGGCCTGTAAGCTCATTACTTTCACTGAGAAACCTTTGCAGTCAATAGACTGACATGAAAGGTATGGGAATTTAGCTCCAACCCCAATTAAACAAACCTCAACCAGTAATTTAAAATCTTTGAGTGGATTACTAGAAACTTTGAGGCAGGTGTGTTAGAGCAGGTTGGAGCTAAACTCTGCAGGACGTTGGCCTTCCAGGAGCAAGTTTGGACACACTGGCCTGTAGGGTTTTTCAACTCAAAAAGGGAAATATTTATGACGAATTATAACTGGTTATGATTCATAATAAATATTTAGATTAGATCTTTGAATTAAAAGTTTGTTGTCATTTAGAAGTGTGTTGGCCTTCTTGCATTATTATGCTGTTACATTATGATTATATATTCAGTGGCATAAAATGGTCTTTAAAATTACAATAATATCGCTTATCGCAATTATTTCTGGGGCAATATATCGCACAACAAAAAGTTGTTATCGTGACAGGCCTACCTATAAGTAGTGTTTATAATTGCAGCACTGCTTCATGTATGGGGTGACTGAGGTAACATCGGTATGTCTGTTTATCCATAACACCATATGTATCATTTTATAAAAAACTCACAGTTCAGTATGTTGCCATAGACCATGGCTCTTTAATCCATGTTAATTGAGCTCCACAGACCTGCAGTTTAGCACACATTTCTCCAGTACACCTACCTGGGTGTTTCAAGAAGTTACAAAGACCTTGATTAGCTGATGCTTAAGATTGGAATTAAATTATGCAGGTCTTTGGACTTCATTGGAGACCTCTGCCATAGACATTAGAATTGTTTCAAAGCCACATTGCTGCCTAAACATCAGGGGCCTCATGTATAAAACTTTACGTAGATTTCATCCTAAATGTGTGATCTCCACCCCGTCTCCTCCCCGAAATAGCCATATATGGAGCTTACAACGCCTAGTTTAATATGCATAACCTCATCTGCATATCATTTCCATGCATATTTCCATCCATGTGACACCATGTTTAACGCAGTTGCCAGCTATAGCCTACACAACAAGTTAGGACAATATGAGATATGGACTATACATGCGTTTTGAGACATCACTATTCTAATTTATGCAATTTGCCTAAAAGGTAAACATATATTTTAGAATGTTTATAGCCTATATTTTTATGGAAAAATCTTTTTGCAGTGTAAATAGCTGTCTGACTCACTGCGTCAATAACAAAAACATTTTGAAAATAAAACGCGCATATCTTACAGTTTCCTTCAAATTCTATCTTTTAAATATGGTGTTTGTCACAATATTGGGAAGAGCACGAAAGGGGTTATCATTAGGCTGCTGTCTGTGCGCGAGACCTCAACGAGCGCATCAACGAGTTTGATCAACGAGCGCATCCTTATGTCTGTCGTTACCATCTGTGTTCCAAAGCCATCAGACGAATCAAGTTCACATCAATGATCATTATTCGTGCAAAAGTATTTTCTCAGAACATGAGTTTTGCTATTTAGAGCACAATTTAAAGCGGAATTGTCATATGCTAAGCAATCCTCGCTGTGATTAAAACATTAAATCACAAACCACAGTAAAATTGTTCAAAAGCAGCACATCCACTGCAAATATTTCTGTTTAAATTCATATACAAATGTTGTAATTTCTGGATAATAATTTCATGAAATTTCAGTGCTTAACTTCATTATTCAGAGTGTCATATTTAATCTAAATGTGTATGTCAAATGTAAAACAGACTTTAAAATCATTCTGTTTGCTTCCTTATTTTGCTCACTCCAGTAAAAGTGTGCGTATGCATGGTCTAGAGCAGTGATGGGCAAACTTGGCCCTTCCAGGCGACTTTCCTGCAGAGATTTGGTCCAACCCTGATAAAACTCACCTGCCTGTAGCTTTCTAGTAGTCTTGAAGACAATGATTAGCTGGTTCAGGTGTGTTTGATTAGAGTTGGAGCTAAACTCTGAAGGAAAGTGACCTGGAACGGCCAAGTTTGCCCACCCCTGGTCTAGAGTGTCCGTACTGTGCGCATATATTTACGCCTAGTTTATTTTTTATAAATCCTAATGTCAGATTTTTCTGAAACAATTTCACTTTTTTCCATCGGTCTAGAGTTTGCAGGTACTGTATGAATATAAAAATTGTAACAAGCATATTTAAGTACAATCTTAATAATTTATTTTAAAAAGCAATATATGTGGCAGTCATATATAGCTTTGTGGGCAATGCACAGAGAAAAAGGTCCTGGCTCAAGGTCCTTTGGCAACCACATCTTCCCTCTCTCCTCTTATCTGTCTTGTCCAATAAAGACATATAAGGAGAAAAAATAAAAAAAATTATTTATTTAAAAAGCATTATTGTAAGTATATCAAACCACTCAGGCTGCATTTCAAGTCTTTCAAGGCCAAATGATTGCCTTACTTGTGAAACACCCAAATCTGATCAGTATTCCCACCCACCACAATGCTCAAATTCCAGGAACAATCATGAAACATTACCACAGCTTAGATGCTAAATACTATTTCCAAGAATACAGTGAGTCATATTGACATTACTGGTGCTATTATTAGCATTATTAACTGTGTTTTGATACTTTTTTATAAATATGCCAGAATATTCTCCAAAATGTCTCCTTTTCTGCTTCAAGGAAGAAAGAAAGTCATACAGGTTAAGAAAGCCATGAGAATTTTTATTTTTGTCTGAACTATTCCGTTAAGAATTCAAGAGCAGATCATGCAGAACATGTGCTTTATGGGTTTGAATCAGTGCCTTCTACCCCTGTGGAGTAACCGTATTATGATCTCACGGTTCCTGCTCTCACCCTCTCCAGTCTGTCACCATCTAGTAAAAGAGATCTTAATCATACCAGAGCGTCTAACCATCCACCGGCAACGGCTAGCAGGTACTCATCTAAGGTTTGTGGCATGTGTCAGACATAAAGAGAGCAGCCCTGGGGTGCGCTAATGTCTTAATTCTCTTTTTCTGTCTGGCAGATGACGGGACAGAGACTAGGCACGACACTGGGCCAGCCACAGACTCAAAGGAATATTGCTCACAGGACAAGGACATAGTGGAGGTGGTCCGTACAGAATACGTGTACACAAGACCTCCGCCCTGGTCTGATGTATTGCCCACCATCCACGTCATCACTCCGACATACAGCCGCCCCGTGCAGAAGGCCGAGCTAACACGATTGGCTAACACCTTCCTCCACGTGCCCAACCTGCACTGGATTCTGGTGGAGGACTCTCAGAGGAGAACTCCGCTAGTCACGAGGCTTCTGAGGGAAACGGGGCTGAACTACACGCACCTCAATGTGGAGACCCCACGGAATTACAAGCTGCGAGGGGACATGAGAGATCCCAGGATTCCACGTGGCACCATGCAGAGGAACCTGGCTCTGAGATGGCTACGGGAGACCTTCAACTCCAACAGCAGCCAGGCAGGAATCGTCTATTTTGCAGATGACGATAATACATACAGCTTGGAGCTGTTTGAGGAGGTGAGTTAAGACAGGCATAATAATCGTCTCCATCTGAAATGATACTTAAATTGTGTACTGTAACATTAATTAATGGGTGTTGGTAAGTGACTGCACTTGTAAGGAGTTTAACTACATTAATAAAGTAATAAGCTTTGAGCGCTTCAACTGCATGATCATGTGACTTCTGCCACTATTTTGTCACTGTTTACTCACCCTCATGTTTTGTGGACAATACAAGAAATTATCATGAAGAATGTTTCAGCTGTTTTTGTCCATATGATAAATATCAATGGGACTCAAACTTTCAAGCTCCAAAAAAGACTTAAAGGTGTCCTATTATGCTTTTTCACTTTTTCAACTTAAGTTAGTCTGTAATGTTGCTGTTTGAGCATAAAAAAGATCTGCAAAGTTACAAAGTTCAAAGTCTACTTCAAAAGGAGATATTTTATTTAACAGAAATCACTTTTCAAAAACTACAACGAACGACTCGTTTGGACTACAACGCATATTTTCCGGGATTTGTGATATCACAAATATCGACGAATGGGACGAGACCTGGTTGAGCTGCACTAGAGAAGGCAACGAGTGTTATCACTATGTCGGAGACACGCTAGCTTTCCCAAGGCAGACGAACTTAGAGTGGTTACAATCATCCGGGCTTAAATCGCGCTCAAATTGATTTGATTTTGACGCAATATTTACACTGAAGCTCGCAGGCGGCTA